ACCTCCTCGCTTTTCTATCTCTTTCTGTGATTGTGACATATTTCAGTCTATGTGCTCCTCTGTGGTTTACCTAAACTAAGTCCTAAAGTGGACAATTAGCTTAAAAGATTCCCCCAAAGAAATCATGCATTAGGGAAGATACTGATAATTCAACAAAAATGAAAACAAAAACAGGTAGAGCTGATGCTTCTATTCTGGTATGACTGAGTTCATAGTTACTGACATTATGAGGTAAATATTCTATAATAAGATGTGACAAGACACTCAAAAATGAGAAAGTTATTGAGAAGTGATTTGAATGTGGATTAATATCCTCTATATGTGTCCCATTAAAATGGCTAAAATTTAAAAGATTGACAACACTAGGTGTTGACAAGGATATGGAGCAACTAGAACTCTCATACTTTGCTGGTAGGGATTTAAAAGGATCAATCACTTTGGAAAACTATTGGGTAGTTTCTTAAAAAGTTAAATATAACCTACCATAAGACCCAGCCATTCTACTCCTAGGTATTTACCAGAAAGAAAAAAAGGCATATATTCATCAAAAGATATATGTGAATGTTCAAATAATGGAAATGATACATAAAATAGAGTATATCTATATTATTAACTGTAGTGGACACTGTCAGTGCCCCACCCATATCCCTTGAACCTTTCAATGTTCTTCTACCGACTTCCAGTTCCCACTACTTGCATCTCTGTGCTGGAGGAATCTTTTCCCTGGAACTGCAGAAAGTAGCACTTCCCACCAAATGACAGACTACAGGTGCCAAGGAGTTTACACTGTCTGGGAGCAGCCCTTAACCAATGACTCTTGGGACTTGATGTCCAGCTTCCTCACTCCTTGAGTGAGGAATTCTGAGGCATGTGTTTTAAACCATTTCTCAGTGTCTTCATGGGATTAAGCTCCAGTTGCGCACTGCAATAGTGCAAACTTTATTGGCTGTCTTTCTGTCCCTATACCTGCATGACCTTCACTTCCCAAATAAACTACCTGCACTTATACCTTTGATTCAATGTCTGCTGAACTAGGACACTTTTTGTAAAGGTAAAGTATTAAAAATTAACAATTTTTGCAGTTGAAAACATGGCTGTTATAATATTCATCTGTATTTGTCCAAATTTAATTCTCAAAATTAGTTAAAAATTTTGAGTATTGTCATATACAACTCATTTCTAAAGGCACATATTATCTAATAAAATTAGGAAACTGAAGTTATATGGTTAGAATGCTTTCTTTTTCTAACATTTAACTATAAAAAATTTAAAATATACAGAAAAGTTGGAAGAACTATACTGTGAACTCAAATACACACACTACCTAGATTCTTCAATTAACATTTTACTATATTTGCTTTATAACATAGTTATTCCTCTATCCATCTTACATATTTATGCATTTTAAGATAAGTCAATATATTTGACTCCCTAAATACTTCAGCATGCACATTGTTAATTAGCGTTCAATATAGATTTCTAATTTTTGAGTGAAATTTACCCACAAAGAAATGCATAAATCTCAAATGTACCAACAGATGAGTTTTGAAAAATACATCCACTGTGTAACCCAAACCTCTATCAAAATAGAGAGCATTACTATCACCAAAGAAAGTGCCCTCATGCCCCCTTTCCAGTCAATCCTCCCCTCTGAGGTAACTTCTGCTTTTTTTTCTTTTTTCCCACTATAGATTAGTTTTGCCTATTCTAGAACATCATATAAATAGAATCTTACAATGCGCATTATTTGTGTAAGGTAACTTTCAGGCAGTGTAATATTTTTGATGTTTATCCAAGTTACTGCATTACTATAGTTCATTCTATATTCCATTGTTTATTCAGCCATTTTTTTGATAATCCATTCTACTGATGTACTTCTGGGCTTTTACCAACTTAAGGCTATTTTGAATAAAGCTTGAATAAAGTTGCTGAATATTTTTATGGGCATATGTTTTCATTTGGGGGAGATGGTAAATTCCAAAGAGAAGAATTTCAGAGACATCAGACAGATGTATCTTTAGTTTTATAAAAAAAACCTGTCAGATCCTTTTTCAAAGCGGCTGTAACATTTTATACTCTCATCAATTTGTTTGAGAGTTCCAGTTCCCCTCCTTCCTCACCAAAATTTGCTGTTGTCTTTTTTTTTCATTTTAGCCAACCTAGTGTGTATGTACTGGTATCTCACTGTGGTTTCAACTTGCATTTCCCTATGACTCATAATGCTGAGCACCTTTTCATGTCCTTATTGGCCATTTGTGTATCTTTCCTTGTAAAGTGTCTATTCAAATCTTTTGGCCATTTTTGGTTGGATCACTTTTCCTTTTACTATTGACTTGTAGGTGTTCTTTATGCAACCTGGACAGCAGTCCTTTGTCACAGATTTTTTGAATATTTTCTCTGTCTGTGGCTTACCTATTCATTTTCTTAATGGCATCTTTTGATGAGCGGAAGTTTTTAACTTTAAGTCTAATTCATCAATTTTTGTTCTTTTGTTATTCTTACTTCTGTGTCCTATCCAAGAAACCTTCATTTACTATCAATTCATGAAGATATTTTCCTGTTTCTCCTTTTATTGTTTTAGCTTTTATATTTAGCTCTGATTAATCCTGAATTAATTTTTATGGAGTTAAGGAGTCAAGGTATATTTTCCTATATGGCTATTCAGTTGTTTCAGCACAATTTGTTGAAAGACTTTCTTTTTCCCATTGAATTGTTTTGGTGCCTTGTCAAAAGTGAAATGATCATTATCAACAGGGGTCATTTACAAGGCTATTTTGTTCCATTGATCTATTGTTGATCCATATGCCAGTATTACACTGACTTGTTTACTGTGATTTTATAATAAATCTTAGAGTCAGATTATGTTAATTCTCCATTATTATTAGCTTTTTATATAGCTTTTTGTATTTTTTTTAGTGGTTGCTCTAGGGATTATACATCCTTAATTTCTTAGTCTACATAGAATGAATGTTGCACCATGTTACATAAAATACAAAAAGCGTGCAACCATATGGATCTATTATCCCATCCCCCAGTCCTTTATGCTCTAGCTGTCATATGTTAACTCAACATACTTTATAACCTCCACCATATAATATTATAATTCTTACTTTAAATGAGTATAGACAGTTTTTCAATTCAAAGGAAAAGAGAGTTTCATATTTACTGATATTTATTACTTATGGTACATTTTAACCCTTCCCTGGAGCTCTGTTCACTTTTTTCAGTGTTTATCTCTCTTCTTCAAATTGAATAATTTCTATTGATCTATCTTAAAGTTCATTGATTCTTTCTTTGGTAATCACAATATGCTATAGAAGTCTATCCAGTAAATTTTTATTTTAGATATTGTATTTTTTAATTCTTGAATTTCCAATTTTTAATAGTTTCTTGCTGAGATTTTCTCTCCTTTCATTCATTATTAGCTTATTTTCCTCTATGTCATTGAACATAGTTAACAGCTGATTTGAAATCCTAGTTAGCTAATTATATCATCTGGCCCACCTCAGGGTTGGTCTCTATTGACTGTCTACTCTTTTGAGTAGAAGCCATTTTCCTGTTTCTTCCCAGTTCAAGTAGTTTTGGATTGTATCCTAAACATTGCAGATGTTATGTTATGGAGACTCTGGATTCTGTTATGGTCCTCTAGAGTATAAGTTTTTTTTTTTTTTTTTTTTTTTTTTTTGGTATTGCTTTGTTTTAACAGGTAGTTAACTTGGCTGAACTCATATACTAAAGACTGTTTCCCCTAGGGTAGGTAGCAGGTAATGTCAATTGCTTTAGCCTTAGATGAGCTACTTAAGAGTCTTCCCTGTACACACGTATTTTAGGGATAAGCCAGAGATTTGGGAAGAGTTTATATGTGAAATTTGAGCTCTTACTTTCTATCTCTTTTCAAGGATATCCTCTCACTTCTCAAAGCTGGGACTGCCTTGATCTCTGTCCTCCAGTCTTAAAGCCAAAAAGACTATAGATTTCTATCAAAGTTCTAGCTTCCCTGCTTGGAATAGATTGTACCCTGCCCTCAATCTAGTAGCCATAAAAAAACACCAAAACAAACAACAACAACAAACAGGGAATTCACCCAGTGCTATCCCCTTCTTTCAATTAAAAAAATAATAGATTTTTTTAGTTCAGTTTTAGGTTCATAGTAAAATTAAGCAGAAAGTACAGAGAATTCCCAGATACTCTTTGCCCCCCACACATGCATAGCTTCCCCCACCATCAACATCCTGCACCACAGTGGTACATTTTTTACAGTTAATGAACCTACATTGGCACATCATTACCATCCCAAATCTATAACTTACATTAAGGGTACATTCTTGGCATTGTATATTCTATGGGTTTTGGCAAAATGTATAAAGACACCTATCCACCATTATACTATACAAAAATAGTTTCAGTGCCCTAAAATACTCCATGCTCTATCTATTCATCCTTCCTTCCTACCCTGGCAACCACTGACCTCTTCACTATTTCCATAGTTTTGCCTTTTCCAGAATAGTCATATATTAAAGTTGGAATCATCCAGTACATAACTGTTTTAGATTGGCTTTTTTCAAATAGTAATAGGCCTTCTTTCAATTATTCTTATGTTCCCTCCATGTGCTTGGTCTTGGTCACTCTCCAGTGTTTTTAGGTAGTTACTTTGTCCAGAATTTATAGTTGTTATCTGTGGGAAATCTGATCTAATTAGAGCTACTCAGCCATTAACAGAAAAAAAGTTTTAAAATACAAATTTGTACATTTAACAGGAATAACCAGACTTCTGGTCACAGTTCAAGATTGATGTATCAGAGCTTATCTTAGATCAGGCCTATAATTATTAAATTTCAGGGATGGAATAGATCTTAATGGTCATCTAGTATACTAACAAATAACAGGTTTAAAATTAATCATAATTCCCATCACATAAAATGAAGTTTCATTATTTCATTACTTATGATATACCATTTACCAAAAAAAGGACGATTATGTTCTAAATATATATAACAAACCTGTCAAGGCTGTTTCACTTATGGATTTAATTTGCAGAAAAACTTCTCCTTTCAGTGAAGTCCAGTTTTGAAAATTATCATATACTTCATTTTTAATACTGGTTAGCTCTCTTTTACTAAAAGTAAGTAATGAAAGAGTCTTATTCCAGAGATACTTGTATTCTGTCAATCTCTGACTGTAAAGAAGTAAGGAAAAATTAGGATTTTTAAAAATAGCAAGCATAATAACAAATATGTATTTGAAAAAAGGTTTTCTTTGAAAAATGGTTTTAGAGTGACCATAAAATCTACTGTTTAAATGGAGACAGTTATGAAAGTAAAAGTAGGTGCTATCTGCATTATGCTGAGACAACATATAAACTGGGGTTATCCCAGGAAGACTGAGGTATATGGTCACCCCAACTCATTTCCATTGTGTTATAATATTTTAACTATAAATAAAGATAGCTAACTACTTTCATACACATTTTTCTATTAATCTTTTAAAATTAATTTAACAGCAAACATTTAGTGAAGGAAATTCAGTCAAAAGTGACGTAGTCAGGACTTCCCTGGTGGCGCAGTGGTTAAGAATCCGCCTGCCAATGCAGGGGACACGAGTTTGATCCCTGGTCTGGGAAGATCCCACATGCTGCGGAGCAACTAAGCCTGTGTGCCACAACTACAGAGCCTGTGCTCTAGAGCCCACAAGCCACAACTACTGAGCCCACGTGCCACAACTACTGAAGCCCACGCGCCTAGAGCCCGTGCTCCGCAACAAGAGAAACCACCATAATGAGAAGCCCGAACACTGCAATGAAGAGTAGCCCCCGCTCGCCGCAACTAGAGAAAGCCCGCCTGCAGCAACGAAGACCTAATGCAGCCAAAAATAAATAAATAAAATTAAAAAGTGACTTAGTCACTGAGCCTAAAAGAGAATCTCAGATTTGTAGACAGCATTCTTCCTGCGCTATAGTCCTACAGGCAGTGTAAAACCTGGGGTAATAATAAATGAAACCTTTTTAAGTGACTGATCCAGTGCTTTTCCCACATCAAATGCCACAGCTCAAAGTAACCACATGTTTTTTACTATCTCAATGATTTTTATTACTTCAGATGTCCTGGCTATCATTTACCTAATAATCAAGCAAGATGCAGACATGGATATGAGTGTTAGGAGCAAAAAGATGATGACTGAAGCCAGAAGAGTTAATTATTTGGTTAAGATTTATCTACCTAAGTAGACTAAGATCTATTATGCAGAGACTGTATCTGTCTTGTTCATCACAGTCTCCCTTGTACCTAGCACAGTACCTACCACATAGTATGTACTCAACACATACTGATGAATGAATGAATGAGTGAAAAAAGTAGATCACTCTGTTGGAGAAATAAAGAAGTAAGAAATACTGAGGATAAAATACTGGACAACACTAATATTTATGGGAATAAATCAGAAAATAAAACCTGAAAGGAGACGAGGGAGGAGCAACCAGTGAAGAAAAGCCAAAAAGATAACATCGGAAAAGCCAGGGGATAAGAGAATTTAAAGTAGAGACTAGTGGTCAGTGTTTAAGGCCTCAGACAAAGGCTGAACAGAGGCCATTATATCCGGTATTAAGGAGGTCTTTGGTGACCTAAGAGAGAGGCTTCAGGTAGGAAAAGACTGAGCAGTAAAGCAGAAGTGAGAAAATAGTTATGTGGTACCAGCAATCAAGAACCTTGATTGAGGCAGCAAGGAGAGAAAAAGGAAGATACACAGTAGAATGGTTTGTTAGGATGGGAGACACCTGAGTGTTTACAGAGCTGAGCAGACAGTATGAGTACAGTCACAGAGGCTAAAAAACACAGGCAAGAGATGTGTTTAATGGCAAGAGATCATTTTTTGTGCAGAGCTAGAAAGAAAGGACAGATGTAAAACAAAGGCTGAAAGATTAGTCTTTGCCAGGAAGAAGAAGGGTGGTGTCATTCTGTGTGGTTAATTAATAAGGTCCACTTGAGTGACCAAAAGCCACAGGGAATCCTCAATCAGCATGCAGACCTGGGAGCTAAGAGAGATGTTGATTTCAAAAAAAAAAAGAAAAAAAAAATCAAAGAAAGGGGTGGGGGTGAGGGAGGGATGGATTGGGAGGTTGAGGTTAGCAGATGCAAACTATTACATATAGAATGGATAAACAACAAGGTCCTACTGTATAGCACAGGAACTATATTCAATATCCTGAGATAAATCATAATGGAAAAGAATATAAAAATGAATGTATATAACATGTATAACTGAATCACTTTGCTGTACAGCAGAAATAAACACAACATTGTAAATCAACTATATTTCAATTAAAAACAAGCCAAAAAAAAAATCAAAGAAAGAGTCCAACAGATCACTAAAGCAAAGGGGAGCAATGGTGAGGATGGGAAGTTTGAATGTGAAGCCAGGAAGTGGTAAGACAGAGACAAGAACTATGAACTAAGTCAAGGTTAAAGGCCTAATGGGCCCAATGTAAGGCAGCTGCTGGGAGCAAGTCATGTACATGGGGGTCAAGGCCTAAAGGGATATTTAATAGAAGAAAGACCAGATACGGATGCATGTGCTTCTGTAGG